TGCACTGCCCCCCCCCCCCCCCCCCCCCCCGTCGTGCATGAACCTGCATAGGTAAGATCGTGCCATTCCCTAGTTTTTGCTCAATCCCCGGGTCCTGGCCTCCTTCAATTCTCGTAGTGGACAACTTCAAGCGCCAGTTTGCGCACCTTGAGGCGGGGGGCCGCGGACAGGACAAGCACTTGGGTCAAGCCACATCCCTGCCACGGGAGCGTGTCCGAGACTTCCAATCTGAGGCCGCCAAGTACATGAGCCGAGGTGCCCACCACATGTCGGGTGTGGTGGGGGCGACAGCGTATGGAGCAGCTCCTGCGTACAGCAACTCTGTGGATATGGAGGATGCGAGCAAGGCCATAGAAATGGTGCGTGGCGAAGGGTGGTTCCCTGATCTGACCCGCCCACCCCTCTCGAAGGCCAGGTTGGGAATGGCCACCTCATCACTCTGTATTGCCGTGTCACTGGGGAGAATTGTGTCCGCCCCCCTTCACGCTCAGTCCTATCCCCTCGCAAATCTGCAGCTGGGGAGCAGCGTGGAAAAGATGTCGGTGATGGATGCTGCAAATGGCTACCCCACCACCACCGGTGGGTACCTATACCCGCAGGCAGCTCACCCTGGACCCCCCCCCCGGCCCAATACCCGGGCGCTCCACCTGCTTACACCTACCAGCCTGCCGTAGGTCAGGGGCCCGCGCGTCCGGGTCCACCTCCCGTGCCTCAGCAGCATGTCAGTGGCCCCAACGCCAAGCCCGCCTATGCCCAGACTGGCGCGGGTGTCTACCAACAGAGTCTCGTCAGGTCAAACAGCACCGCATCCTAGGGTACAGGGCTGCTGCATCTGCTGTCGATGGTGCCACGGGGCCCCCTCTTGGTGCGGACACAGGGACCGAGTCCATTCCTATACTTGTTTCGTTCCATTTCCCTCCTCCGTGTGGAAACTCTCTCCTGTGCGCCCTGGTCATGCGTTTGCCCATCGGCAGCTGTCCCCCTCCCCCAAACCCTGCCAGCCTGACTGCTGGCAGTGCGAGCCCCAGACATCCTGGTTGCTCCGTTTGTACTGCGGACCCCCCCCCAGATTTGGTATTTGGTTGCCTTTTACCATGCAAGCATGGGTACAGAGGCGAAGGTATACAGTGGAGGGAGGGAGTGTTGCTCAGCTCATCAAGGTGCTAGAAAATCACATCGTCGTCCTCAACTTCCAGGACGGTGGCTATTTTGTCGTGCATGTGTGTTGTCTCTTTGGCCTCCTCCAGCTCCTACACACTCAAATGGGCAAGTGGCAGGAGGTGTGTGCATGGAGCTTTTCTTGAGTAAGGCACGGCAAATCATTCGTGTACCTTTGCAATCAGCCCCAACACGCTCATTGCCAAGCCCTGTACTCACCCTGGCAGCAGCCAGATCCGCATTCTTCTTCTTGTTGCCCTGCACCTTCTTCAATCTGAAGAACTCCTCGCGTTCCAGCTCGTCCAGTTCACCCTGCAGGGTTGGGAGCACTGGCGAGATCAAGCCTGGATCACTTAAACTTCACTGGGGTCGCCCAGCGACACGCAGCCTTCAACTTCAGGCTGGGAGCTCGATCACCCATGTGACACAGCTTCTGGAGAAGTGCCCATCAGTCCAAAGTGACGACAATCACCTTGATGTATGCGATGGTGTTTTCCAGCTTTGGCTTCACAACATGCTCGAGCGCATTCACACGGCGGTTGGTGGTCTTGATGGCCTCGTCCAGGGTCAAGAAGGCAGTTTGCAAACTTGCCAGCTCGACGAGAAGCTCCACCGCAGATAAAAATGACTTCCTGCACAAGGATGGCCCAAAGTCCGGGTATCGAGTTGTGGTGGGGCAAGGGCTTGCCCAAGCGGGTCTGTTGAGTCTAGAATAGTCACTCCCAGGGAGCTGCAGGAGGGAGCTCCCTTGTGTCTCCTCAAAAGCCACTGACGTCAGCCAAGCCCACATCACCGTACCGGCAGTCCTGAATCTGCTTTCCGCCGTTCCCAAGTCCGATCAGAGCAAGCTTGGTGTCTGCCCCCTCCTTGAAAGACTCGAACTTGGGCAACTTCACTCCCGCCACATTGTCTTGCGTTGCGCGCACTCGAATGGACGCCTGCAGCACGAGAATGTAATTGCACTGGAAAGCTGGGCCTCCTGCCATCCTTTGACCATACCGTCGATGAATGGCTTCAGGCAAGCTCCCTTACACGGCAGCTACCCAGTCCCACCTGATCCACGCCATCTAGCACGGTGTGGCGGAAGTCGCCAGTTGCGTATCTGGCTTGAGCCAGGGAAAAAAATGATGCCTTCATCAGGTCCCCCATCTGCTCCTTGGCTTGGACAATTTTCTTGAGGATTTGTCGGAACCGCATATTCAGGGCATCCGCTTTCTTCTTCAGCAGAGCGTGCCCCTTTGTCGCGCCTTGCAGCCGTGCCTTCATGACGGCCAGGACCGTCACGGTGGGCACGACCACCAGCCTAGGGTGAAGGGTGAGGGGCCAGGAGTGGGTTGCTGTCGCCAGGGCATCCTCCAGCTACACTGGGTATCTCTGTGACCAACCTGTTTTGTGATGACATCCAAAGAAGAAGCTATGCGCACGCCCCTGGGGCAGCGTCCAGAACACCAACTCCCTTCCGAACTCGGTCTTCTAGGGAACGTCCGCTCAGCGTGAAAGCTCCGACGTCTTGCAAACCCCAAACAAGATCCTCAGCTCTCAATTGCACCTGTTCAAGCAAGTACAGATTTGCGGGGTGGGCAAGGTGCATTCCCGTCTCCTGTTGCTCGAACCCTTCGCTGGGATGCTGCGAGTTCAGGGGTACTGCATTCCTCCGCACGTCCTGGATCCCAGGTCATAAAGGCCGAGACGTGCACGCTGTCTGAACCGCCAGCGGCACTCTCATTGCCCGACAATATTCATTAGTGAGTTTCAGGACATTGAGGTTTTGAAATGGGATCGTGATGCGCGATCTAGCAATACGATCAATGTGCCATCCCGGTGTGTTACAATAGCACTCTCAAGCGCAGGCTCCTGGAACGATGCGGCCGGACTTCGTGGAGATAGGGCTGGACTATCATGAAGGAGATGATGCACCGCTGGATAGCATACGCGGAGGGGTTGATCGGCGTACTTACCCTCGGCGCCCCACTACGGGAGCGTTGAGGGGTTCTGCCGATGACTCGCCCACTCTCGTGTGGCGCCTGGATGGTCTCAACCCACGTCAGCTCTACCTCGAACTGATCTCGCCTGGAGTGCCGTCCCGAAGAGCATCGCTGGAGTTTGCTGCCAGTATCTTGCCGTCCATCGGTTGGAGGCGGTCTGGCGACCAAGCTCACTTGGCCATCATCACCAGTGACGACCTGCTGCACAGCATCCAGGTCGGGCTTGCAGAGAGCGACATCTGCACCGCAGCATCGCACTCCGGGTCACCCGACATCTCTTCAAAACTGCCTTACAGCCTGACATCAGCCTCGTTGGAGTCTAGACTCAGAGATACAGGTGACCCTGTGGCCCTTCAGTACGTCAACGCCTACCTGGCCATTGGGACAACCCAAGGCCGCATCCTACTAGTGGATGTCGAGAGCATCGGGGAGAAGGTTACAGAGCTGCGGCCCCCCAATCTTGGTCTCAGTAAGGTGTGGCTGAGTGATGCCGGGGATACACTAACAACGCAGCTGCTATCGTTTCCAGATCATGGCATCAGCACATACTTTTCACAGGTGTTTGGAGGGGTTTTTTCGCAGAGCTTTTCCCAGCCGGCCATCTCCAGTCTCATGTCCTTTCCTCGACCCGAAGGAGAGTTCCTGCTGGCCATCAATGAGCGTGCCCATCTCAGGTAAAAAGACATGCACTGCACATGAGGTCATCTGCTAGTGCAAGGATTCCCAAGCCTTGTTTCCTGTACTCAGCCGACTCAAAATGCATCTTCTCACGTGAACAGCATCTGGGATACCGCTGCCGCCAAAATGCTGTTTGGCGTTGATCTTCTGCCAGCAGAAGAAACATCGCTGGTACCAAAGCTCGCCCGTGCTGCAAGTAGGTGTGGTTTTCAGATCTGCGTGACAAACTCAAAGGCGAGGGTTTATCAAACGGCCAATCACCACATGCATACATTTACATCGTGCAGGCGAGCCTCTTGATGCTCTCACCTGCATCCTCTTCGTATACTATGAGAGGAGGGAAACATCAACCAGTGAAAGCGGAGGGCCCGGCACCCTACACACCTATGAGATATTGATGGAGGAAAGGGGCAACGCCCTGCTCAAGGTGCGGTTCTGGATTCAAGAGCGATTAAGTTGGACATGCCGCTCTGAGGCCGGTCCCTTGATCGTCATACACTACACCCTGCACCACTCACGTAGGTCCATGTCGAGGGGGGAACCAAGCTGGAAGGAGATGTCAACTCCTTGCACGACCTCATCATAGCCAGGTTGCCGGAGAAGAAATTAGGCGCATGGATGAGATACCAAAATTCAATGGGAGCCCAGTGCATCCGCTGCATCCAGATAGATTACACGGACTCTGTGGCCAGGGGTGAGTGGAGGGGAGTTTTGTGTGCGTGGATGACTGGGATGTAGAACGCACGTGAGTTCAACACAGCAAGGCCCTGGAAAAACGACTGACTGATATCTCGCTCGCCTGCATTCCACAGATATGTCTTTCAGTACAATAGAAGAGCATGCACTGGCAGCAGTCCCAGCTGCTGAAGACCTTTGGTGGTGGCAGACTTTCAAGAAGCTCCTACAGCACGACTGGCCTGAACTTAAAATCGACCAAGCTTTCGTTGGAGCGTGTGTGGACGCCATTCTGAATCCGGCCTGCTTCTCCATCGGCTGCCTTGTGGCGACCCTCGCTGCGATAGGGTGCTCAGCTTCCAATGACAGCTTGCACACCATGTCGGCTGTGGAGCTCCGAGAATGGATAGTCTCGGTCCTGGACGCCTATAGTGCTGACCAGCGAAGGCCCGACACCGACCTGTGCGAGAGCAGGGATGTCGATTGGAGCTACTTTGTCAGCTGTTACGTCAAGGAGTGGACCAAGCGCTTTCCAATAGTCGGCCTCATCGTTGCTCAGGAGCATCAGCACGACCAGATACTCGTTGCAAGGCGCAACGATATGACAACTCTAGGTCTGGAAGTGTTTCCACACGGCAGCAAGCAGGTGTGTATAGATGAAGGTCACTCTCTCCATTCAACATTCACCAGCCCTCGGGACCTGCTCAAGCGACATAGGGGGATGCTGTATGCCCTAAAGTCAATGCAATGCATTCACTTCTGTTGGCAGTACAAACATCTTAGAGAGGAGATACTTATGATATCGTGCTAATCATCCAACGGCTATCACAGGGAGCTGAAGTAGGCTCGAGAACTCGGAGACCTGAGTTTAGTAGTCTAATATGGACAATGAACGCTGCGCTGGGCGGTCCGTCCATTCACAGGTAGATTCATTTGTAGCATCGGGATGTTCCCTGTCGTTTCTGACTGGATGAATGGAAAGCTCGTATTTGTGATTGAGATGCATCACATTCTTGACACATTGATTATTACTTCGACGCTTTCATCATTTTTCCTGCTATCCTAGGGTACTCGATGCGGTGATCCAGTCCAAGGGAGTGGATCTGTACCTGCACGTCCTGCCAGCGGTGGAGCGGATGCTATCAGGTTCTTCGCTCCCAATAGTGTCAGCCTCTACTCCAGACCAGACGTGTGGGCGTCGATCCAAACTTCGCAGGTAAGAGTACATGAGGGACCATGCGGGGCCTTCGGCATTGTAGGTGCTCACTCGATAAAGTGCTAGCAGATGCATTTCAGTTGCCACTTAACTGACGTGCAGGATGCGGGCTCAGCTTTTCTTGCTACGGAAAGAGGCAGCCAGAGGGTACACGGAAGTATTGGACTTTGTCAACAGCCTTTCTGGTACTGTCTATAATCCCTCTACATCTCCATCGGAACAGCAAAGCACGGATCGTGGGCCCAAGGCCTCGAGAGTTCTTGCCCAAATAATGTTCCATGTGAGTCTGGAGCACAGTCAGAAGGTCTTTCGGACCCTGGACAGTAATCTTATCCTGAAAGTCTACAATACCACCGCAGGAGGCTACCTTGCGAAAAGCTGCCCTCCTAGGCGGATTAGTCAGCTGCCAGATCCTGCAGGGAGAATGCAGCGATTGGGGACCCTCTTCTGGTTCGTCATGCTCAAAAGGGGATCCCACAATCTCGAAATTAGAGCAAAAGGTAGCGAAGGAGAGAAATTATTGCTCAAAGATGTCTTGCCCGCATACCATGAATAGCGAAGATTCCCCCATGGTCCCTTCCACCACCACACAATGCAGATGCTGCAGCTGTGGGCAGCAGCTTGCATTGCACCCAAATTCGTGGGGCTCACACATAGAACAGAGCACGGTCTGGACCCAAGCTTGCTCGTTTCAAGTCTGAAGATATCGAATGGTGAGCCTCTAGTAAGATGTTCTGCATCGCGGTTCAATCGATCACGAAACCATAACATCCTGTTCCGTTGATACCAGGAGGGCAAAATAAGAGGCAGAAGGTCAGCAGCAGCAAGGATGCTGTATTGCTCCAGGATCTTATTGCGATATGCGACCTTCCAGGTAGGTGTTATGCTTAGGACATGGGATGCAATGTTTCCAGCGAGCCACTGACTTGAAGTCCCGATTCTCTTCTACAGATGGTACAGGACTCCGTTGGCTGCGCAACACAGCGTACATGTTTGCTGAGCGGTCCATGGACCCCCTAGTGGCGAAAAAGCTCGTGACACACTGCTTGCGGAGGACTCTCTCCACACCCACGTCGGAAACCCTCGAGATCCAGGCCCTGCTGCCGTACCTTCTGCCGGATACGACCACGCCTCTGAATGCCTGCCTTCTTGACCCTGACGCCGACTTCTCGAGCCTTTCGCGCATGACTTCAGCTACTGTGCACAGGTGCGACCCAGTGACGGTGTTGAAAGAGAAGCGGTGTTCAGGACTGCTTCTGCAAATGGTGCTCATACAATCGCACCCCAATCTACAATGCAGGGCACTTGCCACCGTGGAGCTCTCTAAGGATGAAGCTTCTGTCGAGATGGCGAGGTCCCTTCTGGCAAAGAGTTCTCAGGCAAGGTTTGCAATAGTTGAGTCCAGCCCACCACCTTACTTTTTGCCAGATCGCAACCATACATCTTATCCCCTCAATGCAGGGAGACCACTTGGAAACTAACATGCGAGTCGAATTATTCTATGGCGGTCGTCCAAGAGAAGAAGCGGCGCAGTATATTATGGCCATAATCCGACAGGTGACAAGGCCGACTATTTATCGCGGGTAGATTATGAAGAGGTTGCTGATGCATGTAGCTCCATTCTCGCAGGTGGAAGGGCGCTTGGAGCAGGCTGAAGAGAATAGTCTGCTGCTGAGGGCATTTGGTCAATACTTGGAGTGCCATCTTTTCCCGGTAAGTAGCACGTGGCAGGTATTGCATAAAGCAAACGCGAGTGCCAAGCAGATATGCAAGAATATCCCCTTAATCAACAGGAAGCGTACTTGACTGCCGTTTGCATCGGCGACTCTGACGGCGTTCTGGACTGCCTCAGACAACTACTGCAAAGAACAGTCCAACTGAAAAAACCCGACGAGTTCAACAGGCTACCTTTTGTGGGAACGGTGGTAAGAGAGTGGGTCCGAGTATGAACATTTGATTCCCAAGTCTATGTCGAATTGGTTCTCAAAGACCGCAATCATAACCCGCAGGCGTTGGATCTATCTGGAACGGCGCCCTTCTGCTCCCTCCAGCGAGAGGCTGCAAAATTGCTGCAGCTGAAAGCAAGGGCATCCTTGTCATTTGCTGTCCCAAATCCATACATGGTGAGGCCCCTGCTCAGTATCTTCCGCCAGCAATGGGGCCAATTCAAACTAGAGCTTACAAGCTCTTGCTTCCCAAAGCGACCGGTGCCACAGAGTATGATACACCGATTTCAACTCCCCTTGCAGGTTTTGTTTCAGTTCCACCAGGAGCGGGGCCATTGGCAAGCGGCAGCATCCACTGCATACGCTTTTGCGCAATTGCTTCGGACAGAGTATACTGTGAACCAAGAAGCCTTGGCTGCTTCGGCAGGGTTCGTGCGTATGGCAATCAGTCTGCTGGGGCAGCTACCAAAGGGCAGCAGATGGATCTCATGTGCCTGGCAAGCAGGAGAAGAAATTCTCTCGACGTGCGATTTGGAGCGAGAGTGGAAACTGCTTCAGTCCCTGAGTCTACTGCGAAGCTTCGGCGACGGCGAAGCTGCTTCACAATCTTCTATGACTTATCAGGCACTAATGCTGAAAGGTAGGTGCATTTGCTGAGGATGTGCGATGTTTGATCAACGTAGAGCAGGGTATAACCAATGCAGAACCCACCTGCACCATCGCAGGACTATACCGGGAAGCCTATGAGCTTGCGGTAGTCCTGTGGGAGGGCTCAGATCGTATGCAAGCTCTTACCAGTATCACAAAGGGCATCAGTCACTCTGCCGCGCAAGCCGGGGGCGGTAGCTCAAACCCTGCGTGGGGTCTCCTGCGCGAGGCAGTGGAATGGACTCCGGGTATGACACTTGCTTGCACAGCTGTTTCAGAGCTTCTACGGGTTTCTCCTTCCCTTAGACTTCCCGAGTGGCTGATCAATAGGTTTTTCCAATCCAGACAAACCTTCGAGGCTTTGCTCAAGATGCTACTAGATGCCGGCTGCTCTGTCCTCGCAGCGGATCTTACACTGAGATTTTGCCTGGAGAGTAAAGCTTCCGATGCTCTTAATCATACCGAGTCAGTTTCGAAATCTTTGCTCGAGTACCTCAAGCAGGTGCTCGCATCCACTGATGTGAATGCACTCTCTGATGTGCAGCTGGCCCTGCAAGCTTTGTAAGTATAGATCAGCTACATACAGTAGTGTCAGCTGGGAGAACCTTTCGAGGGGACGTATATAAGTATGGGATTGTCCACCGCATCAACGACGTGAGTGTGGTCAGTTCTGCAAATTGAACAGGGCAATTGTCTCCATGCTTTCAAAACTTGCTGAAATCCCTGGCTATGCTGAGACATTGCGGGACATCTTACTCACTGACTCTTGTCGAACGTAAAAAGTGCAGAGAGCTACAAAGAGAATGAACGCAAGGCTTCCTGGAAATGCCAGTCGCACACATTCTGTGCATCTGGGTCTTCCTCAATAGCCTTGAGGCCGGCTTCTTGGCATAAATAGGCGATTTCAGCACCAGAAAAACCATCTATCGCATTGCTCAGCTGCCGCAAGTCGACATCTTCGGAGAGGGGCATTGAGCGCGTCTTGACCTTCAATATGGCAAGTCTCCCCTCCCTATCGGGCAGCGGGACGTGAAGAATCCGATCGAATCGCCCTGGTCGTATCAGCGCAGGATCCAAACAATCCAAGCGATTGGTTGCACCGATTACTATGATCGCTTGACGTGCAGAGATACCGTCGAGCTCCTGAAGAAGCTGACTGATCACTCTGTCTCCCACAGAGTTCTCAGCTCCATCAGATGTCCGCCTCCCAGCGAGACCATCAAGTTCATCAAAAAATACTACAGCAGGTTGCGTACTCCGAGCTCTGCAGTACATAGGGATGATCCAAATGTGGTTGACTTGACGGGGCCTGATGCCTACACAATATTCGTTCCATTGATTGGGGGATGTAATGCGACGGAATTCCCAAGCCCCGCTCATATCGCAACATACCTCCTGAAAACAGTTGATATTGCCTTTTCTGTTTCACCGACATATTTGCTGTACAACTCCGATCCTTTGACTGCGATGAATCCCAAGCCGGCCTCGCTGGCGATGGCTTGAGCTAGCATGGTCTTGCTGCATCCAGGAGGGCCATGCAACAGGATACCTGTGTGGCACGGGCAGAAATTGATGGCCCCCTTAAGTATGGTAATGAAGCTGGGCGCTTGAAATTTTCGTTGACAGCAAATACTCCGCTTGATATACCTTTGGGGGCGACAGCACCAAAGCTGTGCAGTTTCTCGCCACTCTTGAATGGCAGTTCCACCGCCTCCTTCAATTTCACTTTTACGTCTTCAAGTCCACCAATATCTTCCCATCGCGTTCTTGGGATCTCCAAGGCCACTTCTCGAAGGGCGCTCGGCTTCACTCTGAGTCTGGCAGCCTCCAGATCAGAGGTAGATACCCGAGGAAGCACTAGGCTAGAATATTCGCGGGAGAGTCCTGCATGCTCTTGATGATATCTACGCAAGGTCGATAGAGCAGCCTGTCCGCATAGGGCATGTATGTCAGCGCCAACGAATCCATGCGAAGCCCTGGCCACTGCTCGGATCTGCATGAGTGATGGAAGCTTGGCTTATAAAGAAAAGTAGGAAAATAAGAGTCATCAACCTACTGCACAAATGCACGATCTCACCTGATCCTTGTCCACACAATGGCTGATGTTAGAGAGTGCCCTCAGCATTATATCCTCACGCTCGGCTGGCCTGGGCGCCGGCATCTCGACCTCGCTGTCAAACCTTCCCGGGCGGCGCAGCGAGTGATCCACATTCTCCAGGTTATTGGTCCCGGCCAGAACGACAACTCGCTCGCCTGAAGGATGTAGAAAAGGGTGTAGTGTTGTAACTTACGATCTACGCCGTCGAGTGCAAAGGGAAACATGAAATAGTGGACTTCTCCCATGAGTGACCACAACGCTCAAGTTCCCTCGTCACTGTACACCAGGGACCAATACTCGTCCACCTGCCTTCTAGACTGTCCATTGCTTGTGAGAGTACCGATACTATTCTCCCAGAAGCTCCAACGTTCCGTTGGCGACCTTGATTCACGTCACCCCTGGAGCCCGCAAAGACGTCGATCTCATCGAAGAATATCACCTAGCAATTTGGGGGGGCCATTCACCCTTTACTCTATTGGTCGAAGATTTTTTCCCGAGGGCATGAAAATTTGTCCCATCCATGCACAATCTCCCTGTACTCACCGAAGGTTGTAAGAGTTTGGCCACCATAAAAATTCCTCTAAGCGTTGTTTCAGTGTCTCCAGTGAACTCCGAAAAAATCTCCGCGCCATTCACCACGAAAGCTGTGGCATTTGATTCTTGAGCGATGGTTCTTGCCAGCATGGTCTTGCCAGTCCCTGTGGGGAAAGAGGTGACCCGGATCGAAATTAGGCTGGCGTGCAGCGCATAATGCGCCCCTGGAGATCTTCTGCAGATTCCGTGAGAGGCTTTCAGCCGTCAACACCGCTGGCGTGTCATCCTCATTACCTGGCGGACCATGCAGTATCACGCCTCGCGGTGGAGTGATATGGAGGCGGCGGTACAGATCTGGTCGTGCCAGGGGCAAGACGACCATTTGTCTCAGAGTGTGCAGTTGCTCCGAGTACCCACCAAGATCCATGGGCTTGGCAAAGCGAATGCTTTTTCCAGCGGACAACGCCCGCTCGATTCCTGCGATGGCTGCCGATGAAAAGTCGCCTTGCAGATCCTCTCTCCAGGTAGATGCTGGTGGTGCTTCCTGGTAGTTGCCGCCGCTTGGGGCATCGCCGCTCGTGGGGTCGAGATTCAACAGACGGATCTTGGTGTCGAAGCCGACCTTTGCCAGATGGGTACCTCCACTCGCATGAGTGCTAGGTCCAGACAGAGCGGAGCCAAGCGACACGAGCCTTGCCTGCAGCTGTGTTCCCATGAGCTTAACGGGGATGGTGTTGCCCTCCAAGGCTGTCCATCCGCAGAGCTGATGGAGGATCAATTGCTCAGATAACTTCCGACTTCGGCCCCCTGTGCATGGCAAGAAGGGCTGGTATGGTGCACTGTTGGATCACATATGCATACTTGAGTGCAGCCCCATGCCATGGACGCACCTGCCAGGAGGCATTGTGGCAAAGACTCGGGCTCATCCAATGGGCTTGCTTGTCGCGTCTGCAGGTGCCTGCCCCTCTGCTGAGGCAGAGCAAGGGGTTGCTGAGCCCCCGCACGCATCGCTGGGCTTCTGATCTTGGACGACAACGTTCTCCGTCTTTGAGAGGAACTTCCAGGACTCGCTCCAGCACTTGTTTGACAAATCTGAGCATTGGCAGGCCGTTCCAGCTCAAGAACGAGTCTTGTACATTTTGGGACATGTTCCATGCTCAAGGGAAGGCCCCACACTTCAAGGGACAAGTTGGCTAGCTGAGGAATCATGGGAACCACCGCACAGTGACCCTTTGTCACAGATTGCTTGGGCCAGAGGTGTGCAAAGTACTGGTGTCTTGCACTTCTCGCCTCCTCACGTGAGGCTACCTGCATCCGTGCATATTGGGGAGGCGTTGTGGTGGGCACATCGTGGCGTACCACTCGGGCCTGCTGCTTCCCACCATGCGCCCACTTCTAATTCATACCAGTACTGGGCAATTTGCTTTGAGATCATGGGCGAACAAGAAATCTGGGTGGGCGTATAGAGTGAGACCGTCCTGCCTCCGCGTGTCCTCCAGCAACTCCACTTCTAGCACACCAATCAGGGGCCCCTCGAAACCGGCCATTGCAAAGTCGCAGGCTCAACTCTCTGCCTACGTCATCCGCATACAACAGGCACAGGAGATACGACGTGTTGCTCGGCAGTTTGAGTCATTGGCCTACGGTAGAGGGGTCTCTTGTCCAACAGAACAGGGAGCAAAGTGGACCAATGTCGCGGGTGGCGGCAAAGCCGGTATTCCACGCCAGCGCAAAACAAACGTGCGAACATTTCTTCAACCATGTCGCGTTGTCTGGTGGCCTCTCGTTAAAAAACTCGCCTTGGTGAACCTCTTCTCAAGTGTGATAACCAAAGGTCTGGCGTGCGGTGCGCTTTAAAACCGGGGGGAGTGTACACTCACTTGCCCAATGCGCACTTGATCGTGGAGCCGACGATACATTATGCCGTCCCTCGGATATCTCGCCGTTGTCTTCTGTTTGTTGGCAACTTGCGCGGCCTATGAGTTCGATATGGTGTTCCAGACCAAGTGTGTGATGGAGGAGGTGGTCGAAGGCACGGAGATTACGGGGAGCTTCACAGCCTTCAATCGGCATCAGCCTAGCGAGTTGGTGCATGTCGACATCAGGGTGAGACGCCGTGAGCGTGGTTGCATCTCGGCAGAGCGGTAAGGGGACGCTCCCATTGGTGTAGCTGTCCCTCTCATTCCCAATGCCACCACCCAGATTGACAATCCTGCTGGCACGCTCTTGCACGAGGAGCACGGTGTGAGTGGAGGACACTTTCATCTACTAGACACGAAGGATGGCGACCATAAAGTCTGCTTCACCGCTTCAGGTGGGGTGGGTCCCCTGCGGTCTTAGGTCCTCACCTACATGCTGTGCAACTGGTACATGAGTCCTGCGCAGCCAGTCACAGAAGACATGCCCATCGTCTCCCTCCAGATTTCCAGACCGCTCAGAACACCCGCATCAGGGTCGAGTGGAAGTCTGGAGCCTCGGCTCATGACTGGGAGCAGGTCGCCAAGAAGGACAACCTAAACTTCCTGCAAACCGAGCTCCTCAGTCTCGAGCAATCTGTGCACGACATTCACATCGAACTGCAACGCATTCGCAGGAAGGAGGAAGAGATGCGAGACATCAACGGTGGGAAGGGCGGGTGGTGCTTGGATGGGCTTTGTGCTGTGTCACTGATCGCCGCAGGCCATGTTGCTCAGGTACTAATCCTACTAAACTGCAGAGGCAACAAATGCACGTGTGGCGTGGCTGGGCGTGGGCGCCCTCCTGGTGTGCCTAGGTTTGTCTGGGTGGCAGATGTCATACCTGCAGCGCTTCTTCAAGCGCAAGAAGCTATTGTAAGCTCACGTCATCGGCAGCAAATTTGCCACTGCAGCGTTTTACAAGGTCGATGCTGAGGGAGGTTGCAGTAACGGCTTTGGAATCTATGTGTCTGTGAACTCCAGCATCTTTAACAGCCACCCTTTGTACTGAGGGAAGTGTATGGCCGTGTGTGAGGAGGGCTCATGGCAACAGAGGCTTCCCCTGTCCAAAAATAGCGCAACAGCACCCAAGTCTTAGGAATTGCACCCTCACCACTCTGAAGTTGTTCGTCTCGTTTCTAGAGCGCCTCTTGGAGGCTCTGTGAGAGGAAATTTGCGCTGGAGGTGAAGTGCCAGGGGCACCCACCATGATGGCGCGCTCTGGCGCGTCCCACACTGTGCAATGCAAGCGAGCGCGCGACAAGGGGTTGCATGACCCCAGTACATATGCCTCCGGCCGAAGAGGAGGACGAGAAACAGCGTCCAGGTGAATTGTACGACGAGACCTAGGAAACATATACAGTTGCCGAGACCCGGCTTGGTGGGCACGCATAGTCGGCCGCCCCAGGCGCCATGCCGAAAAAGTCGACCAAGTCCAAGTCCAAGCGGACCACGCTGAAGCACAAGTATAAGGTTCTTCGAAAGGTCAAAGAGCACCACCGAAAGAAGAGGAAGGAAGCTAAGAAGCTAGGCCTAAAGAAGAGAGAGCCAAAGGACCCTGGTATCCCCAACGCCTGGCCATACAAGCAGGAGCTCATCCAGCAGCTGACGGCACAGAAGGAGCGCGCAGCTGCTCGTATGCGCAAGACTAAGGAAGAGCACTTCAAGCGGGAGCAACAGGTATGGCGCGATTGGAGCACCGGCTTCCCAAGCTGCCACTTGAGAGGGGAGGTGCAAGCCACCTGACAATGAGTTACTCCCAAAGCATACACTCTTCCTTCTGCTCACAGGCTACTGATCTCAGACCAGCTGCTTCCCTGGCCAATGTTTCTCAAGCGGCCCAGGAGCGTGCAGACGTGTTTGATGGTGCATTGCATGGCCAGGATGGAGTGACTGCGACGCAGGATTACAGTCGGCGCGCATACTACAAAGACTTTGTCAAGGTAGGATGGCATGGTGCATGTCTGCAGAATTAGCTTTCCCGCTGCGTTCCAGACTGGGTTGTGGGAGCTCCATGAGAACCAACACAGCTTGCCAGTCATGAATGGTTCATACTTGCTCGCTGGGTTCTCAAAGGTGGTCGAAGCTGCTGATGTGATCCTGGAGGTCATCGATGCTCGCGACCCTGAGGGTGGTCGCTGTCGCGACGTCGAGCGCTTTGTGCGCAAGTTGGACCCCAAGAAGAAAGTTATTCTGCTCCTGAACAAGATAGGTGTGTGGAGGGGTATTTCGGGGGGGGGGGTAAAGTGGGACCGGCTCTGGCAGGTCACAAGACAGCAGCATGGGTGCTCTGCTCGCACTACCTCTTTAATGCCCATGTCTAGTGTCAGACCGACGCCCACCCAATCACACACCCAACCAGACCTGGTTCCCAAGGAGGCGCTTGCCGCTTGGCTGCAGTATCTGCGGCAGGAGCTGCCCACCATCCCCTTCAAGAGCTCCACCCAGCAGCAGGCCAAGAATCTGGGGCAGAAACAGCTGCACAAGGATGGCACGGCCAATCCAAAAGTCTCCGAGTCCCTCGGTGCGGTGGGCCCAGAGGATTTGTGCTCCTGGCGGTCTGAGTGGGTGAGCTGTGGTGTTGTGCATGGCGGGAGCATGGTGCGGCCCCCAATGATCCACCTGCACTCCTTGCCATGCCCCGCAGGAGCTGACTCCCTGCTGCAGTTGCTGAAGAATTATGCGCGGAATGCAGGCCTGAAGACGGCCCTCACCGTCGGGGTGGTGGGTCTCCCTAATGTGGGCAAGTCCTCTGTCATCAATTCCCTGAAGCGAAGCCGGGTGGCGCAGGTGTGTTGCCATGGTAGTATGCTGGGCCCCGTGGCCTCACCCCAGCTGGGATTCTGAGTCCATGCCATGCTGAGGCCAGCAAGTCCAGGCCATGTGCGCTACACCACACATGTGTTGTCGCTCTGTCTGACAGTCAACCTCTGTCACACTTTGCCCCGATAGGTGGGAAACACGCCGGGCGTGACACGCTCAGTGCAGTCCATTCATCTCGACAAGCAAATCACGCTGCTAGACTCCCCTGGCGTGGTGTTTGCCGATCCGGGCTCCGATGGTGTGTCGGCAGCTGCACTGAGGAACTGCATCAAGGTGCGGCGGGCAGCCCCATTTCACAGACCTCGGAGAGCATATTTGTGTCCAGCCAGGCCTCAAGAGCCCTTTTCATGGCCCTCCTGCCTCCCCGTGCAGATTGAACAACTGGATGACCCCATCCTCCCCGTCATGGAGCTGGTGCGACGCTGTCCGGCCAAGCAGCTGATGGTCTTGTACAAGGCGCCTGCATTTAAGACTGCAGAAGAGTTTCTGGTGCACCTCGCCACCTCGCGGGGAAAGCTGAAGAAGGGTGGCACGGTCGACATGGAGGTGCGGTGCTTGGCTTTGCGAGGGAGGGTTTAGCCTTATTGCCATGCGTTGACGTTGATGAATCCAGAAGTTGCACAACGATCAGTGTATGCCTTTCAGACTCAATCCCGCATACAGCGAGCTGCCCCACACCCAGAGTGTATGCCCACCTGCATCCCATGACGTCCCATTGCACCCCTTGCAGGCTGCTGCGAGGATATTGCTCCAAGACTGGAATGATGGGCGCATCCCCTACCACACTCTGCCGCCCAAGCGCGCAAGTACGACAGTCACTGGCTCAGCAGCTATTGTGACGGAGTGGGGGCCCATGTTTGAGGCGGATAGCGTGCAGGAGGAGGCGCTGATCGGTGCACTTCCCGTCACTGCCGGGGGTGGATTTGTGGTGGATACCTTGGGCGAGGTTGGCTTCGACCCCGAGGCACCAGAGCTTCAGGACGAGGAGGATGTGGACATGGAAGGTGGGTGGGTTGGGGCGAGGAGACTGGGCTGAATTTTCAGCAGGTGACCTGGGTGTCTCCGTGTGCGGCGGTTGTGAGGGATCGTGGTTGTGCAAACCTGCGACCAACAACCTCCATGCAGCAGATGAGGAGGGTGACAGCGTCATCTCTTCTGACAGTGATTCATCAGGCGACGACATGGATATACCCTCTTCTTCAAAGTCTGGGTGCGCCTGTTGTGTTTGATGCTGAGGGGGCGACGTGGTCTGCCATTGGCAGCCCTGCACCGTGCAATGTGAGCGTTGGCCATTTGGCTGGTATACCCCAAATCGAGGTCTCGTGCACTCTCCTGCAAAAGGATAGAGGGCTGTGAGCTCACACCGAGTTCATCCCCATACTACATAGGCTGACTGATGCTCAGAATGCCCAGCTGTACAACAACCCGGGACAGTACAATCCCCACGCTGCAAGGGCTGCTCGAAAACAGAAGAAGCGTTTGAGTAGGTCTGCTGAGGACGATAGCGACTTTGACTTCGAGGAGGACTACAGCGAATGAGAGAGGCCTGCGCATGCATCGTCTCAACAACCTCCCCCTAGCTGAAGCATGCACCCATGTCCTTTCCAATACTGGAGCAGCAGGAGCACTTACTATGTGTCACAGAGCACGAGTCAACCACGTCATTCTAGAGAAGACGAGGGTCGATGAGCAGTTGCAGGGTTGTGATGGTGCATGTATAAACGATCGTGTCTGCTGGTCGATTGGCTGAGTTTCCAGCCAACGTCGAAAAGTTGGGCGCGCTGCATGCTTTTTCGCTGCCGCAGGTGGACGGCATGAAGAGAGCCGGCGTGCTAAAATCCAGGAGCATCAACTACCATGAGACACGTCGAGTGAGCATCTTTAGCCGCAGTCTCTCCGGGCTCAATAGACTACATTCTCGGGCCGAGTACAAGTCCCCCACTCCTATCCGGAGTATCGTGGTCGAAGGGGTGGCAGGGGCCCTTCATCATGCCCAGTGCCTCGAATGGAAACTCGAAGGCACTCGAGAGGCCATTGCTGCCGCAGGAAGATGTTCCTAGGTAAGGGGCAGTTTCCAAAAACGCCAGAGAGGCTCCGACAACATGATGCACTCATTGTGCAAGCGCCTCCGCAGCACCCTTTCAAGCTCGACATTCCCTCTAACCGCAGTCTTGGGTGTCGGGAGGAGGGATTGACGCAGAGTCAGACACTATCTCCTCAGCAGTCGTCGCTTCTCGGATTTACATGCGACAGCGAGGGTTGCGGAAACGGAGGTGCCATATGCAATGTGGCCGTGACCGCCATCGGTGCAGGTAAATTTGTATGCGCAGGCTGGACCGACCTTCGGTATATGGTCGGCAGAGTGCCTGCTTTGACTGAACGGCGCAGATCTGAGTGCACGGGAGTGCCTGCTCATTGGGAGCTCTGCCAGCTTGATGAGATTGATGCTGAGCACCTTGTCGCAGGGATGCTTGCCCTCCCAAAGGCTATGGAGCGAGTTGGGGTCATCCTCGGCTTCACACTGTTTGGCACGGTATGCCTGCTGACCTACTTCTCCAGCTCCATCATCATCAGGTTGGTCTGTGCTTTGTGGTAGCTGTACCATGCATGCATCGATATTGCGTCAGAGTCCTGCACTTTTGCTTTGCGTGTTTTCTTGATATGGTCTGCCAGGCTTATGACATCTCTGCACCCTTGGATCAGGTATGCATCCCGCCGTGGGAAGCGCACCTACTCGGAGCTCATAGAGGGCGAGTTCGGCCTTACTGGCGCACGGGTTCTGCAGACCTCCATCATAATTCACGTTTCTGGTGAGAAGGAGAAGTATCTTCTCACACTAATCACATGCCGGATCAGCTCCTTGGGTATTGACGGCGTCTTGCACGCACACAGTCCATGCATGCATTGTTGCTGCAAGCAATTGCTCGCCTGTGCTGTTAGACTCCTGTGAGTCAACCTTCACAAGCGTCTGCACCACCGACCAGAGAAGTACTCGTCCTCAATCCTACAGGTGTCATGATTGTGTACCTCATCATCATCGCCGACATGCTGATCGGTGCAGCGCCTGAGTGGCATGGCGTCCTGCCCACCCTTCTGGATCGTCATGATGGCGTCTGGTTTCTGTCTCGCCCTTTTGTGGTGAGGAGATGGATGCCTGGTGGAGGCTCGCTGCAGGCATTGCCATCCTGCAGAGGCCTCATTGTTCTCATGTTTCCCTCCTGCCATTCCTTCAAGCTTCCTCACAATTACCCCTTGCTCCCATTCCTGCTCGCAGTGTGCGGTCCTGCTCGTGGTTGCCATTGCGCCCATGCTGATCAGCCGCGAGCTCACCGTGGTGGCACGCTACTCGCGCAACAGCATCATCATGATGCTCTTCCTGTCCTCTACCATGATCACCCTCGCGGGGGTGGCGCTCTGGCAGGGCAAGGCGGCAGCCATCCACATCCTGCCCACGCCACTCGACCCCAAGTGTGCCTCCGGGTGCGGCACGCTGGTCAGCATGTGCGTGGCCATCCTGTCAGTCCTCTCCGTTTCTTGCCTGGCCTTCACCTGCCAGGTAGGGAAAGGGTGTTTAAACATTGGAGTAGTGGGGCCATCCCCGCCTCGTCACTACACTGTGTAGCAGGGCAGGGTCTGAGTAGACATGCCGTGCATGCCTGCTCATTTGGTTCTATGTCGGCTGCTGTGCCAGCAGGTGTGCATGCTGAATCACTGTCCCATGCGAGGTGCTTTTGTGCCATGAGAAGCATGCATATTTTGCTGGCTGGCATGTCGGATCCACTGCCCTCATCTTCTTTCCATGTGCAGTTCAACCTGCTGCCTGTGGTGAGGAGGGAAGTTTATTGTTTCAGGATGGAAGGGCTTGCTCTGCTCTTTGGGGGGTAAGGTTCTATTCATAGGCTGGTTCCTGATCTCAGGCCTTCCCTGTGCGTTACAGGTCTGATTGAATGTGTCATGCCCGGCGAGCAGCCTGTTGAGCCTGTTCTTCTTCGCATGCGCTCTGCTCGATGCAAGCCCATTCCCCCTACCCCGCTTGCAGCACCTCTCCCTCAAGGATGGGCGCTGCAGTAACATGCTGAGCATCACCAGGAAGGCCATCGCCCTGTGCGCTGCCCTCTATGGCACCGTGGCCATTAGCGGATACATTATGTTTGGCAAGAACACGCAGGGGGATGTGTTGCGCAACCTGACCATCAGATACGTCTCCACCCTGGTGCACCCTGTGCTCGCCAGCGTCCTGATCGACTTCATCGTGCTAGCCACCACCTTCAACCTGTTGGTAAGCCCGGGGAGGGTGGGGAAGGGTGTGGATGGGAGCTGTCTGGCCAGGGGTTGTACTTCTGATGGCTAATGATGGCTGATCCTCTGCCTGCATGCTGTATCACTGGACTGAGAATTCGCCGAAGGATGCCCGCCTGGCTCGTGTTTTTAGTATGGGAGCTTGGAAGGTCTCAAGACTCTGGGATTACCTGCTGCTGGATTGCGGGTATTTGGGGGGCCCCGCCACTGCCGAGGCATAGGCCGTCCACACGCTCTTCCTGGCATCTTGGCATGTCAGAGGACGACACATGCACGGCACCCCACTGCTGCGTTTCCCCCTCATCCCCCCCAAGGTGAACTTCGTGCTGAAGGTCTGGGCTGTGCGCGAGAGCGTGTCTGAGATGTTCTACGGTCTCCCAGCCCTAGAACTGAGCCTACCTCGATTCTACCTCCTGACCTACGGCCTGTCGCTGGCCGCATACCTCACCTCCGTCTTCATCCCGTCGGTGTGGGTGATGCTGTCCCTGGTGGGCTCCACCGCCTGTGTCACCTTCTCCTACATCTTCCCGGGCCTCATCATGGCCCGCAACGGCAAGACCCGGCTGGGGCGTGTGGGAGGGGGCAGCACTGTCATCATGGCCGTGGTCATGGCCACTGTTGCCATCACAAACACGCTGTCCGGGCATGCAGATCTGTGAGCAGGGTTGTATGCCGTGGATGGAGAAAGCGCACCACACATCCCAGCCTTTGCGCCTCTTTTCCCACACCTGTGCTGGCCCCTTGCAAGGACGCTTTTGGCCACTGAGCACTGTGCCTCATTAATATAGGGATTGGACATTAGATTGGTGCGCGCATCATGATAGACTTATGAGAATGTCGGCTTCCCATCCCCACCTGATTCTGTTGACTGTTACACTCGAGATCATTCCCATCAGTATGGAACAGGCACCTCACCGAGTCGGTCGTGGTGAGGGGCAGGTACAGAGCAGCATGCATCAGCATGCCAAGGTGTCGGGGAGAGAGTCAGGAGAGTCAGGTGCAGTAGGTAGTCGGCTTGTCAAGGGAGGGGCTCATCGGGACCAGACGACCGCAGTCGTCGCAAGTCATGGCCGTGCTCTTGTGGTTCATGGTGGCACAGTGCCGCTTCAGGGAAGAAGGGAGCGCGAAGTCCTTCTGACACTCCCGACAGGTCCAAGGACCATGTGACAACACCTGCGTATTGAGCGTGGCAGAGACGGTGTCTCAAGTGAGGAGCTAGCCCAGAAGGCATGCAGCGAGTAAGCTAGGCACCGCTGCTAGTGTGACAACCACGCTGCAGCTGAAAGACATCAAGAAAGATACTTCAAAAAAAGGAAGATGGGGCTTCTGCAGCAAGATGTCAGCCAGTCGGCTGATGCAAATTACCCAATGTGCAGTTCATCATCAGCCCATGGTGTAAACACAAAACTAGACAGGGAGTGGAAGTACTTGGGGTGCGGAGGAATGAAGCAAGTGCATGCACTGGCCAAAGTCGGACTCAGTATGAGTAGGAGGTGTAATTAAGTTCAGCATGACGCATCAGTCAGATACTATCATCACTGTCCGGGATTGCTGACCAGATATCGTAGTGCAAGCAGCGGTGCCCAAAGCCAGAGCATGGGCAGGGGAAGAGAGATACGGCAAAGTCAAGCCGGAAAGCTCCCATACCATACCTTGCCCAGGGCGCTGGCGCAGGTGAGGCAGGCGGACGGGGACCCATGCCACAGGCGCAGTGACCGGAACAAGTGACCGGTGAGGTAGGCGTCAAGCGCTGCGTATCGAATCTGGCTGCAGCCCAGCTTGCGGGCTTCCCAGTTGCTCATCGTGATCCTCTTGGACTTGGAGGCGTCGCACTGGAGCACACGTCGAGCCAGGGAGATCAGGCCCAGTCCATGGTAGCCCAGGCTCTCTGACACAGCTTGGACGTCAAAGTACCGCTGGAAGAGGTTGCGTCCCAGGCCATAGCTGCATCGCATGCGCTTCTCGTCGGCCCCGTCCCAGGCATACCCCACTATGACGAGGCTGGGGTCGGAAAGGAGGCTGCGCAGGCAGTGTGGGAAGGTCTTTCCCATGCAGCACAGGCGTACCAGCACGCACAGGTGACTGGAGGCCAGCTGCATGAGCGCCACACGACTGCCCTCTGCAGCAGAGGCAGTGAAGCACGGCCGCCACTCCAGATCGATGCCAAGGACTTCGTCGCGCATGGAGGCCCGCAGCGCCTCCAAGGCCTGGGGAAGCGCGGAAGCCTGCTCCACCAGGATGACAGGGAGGGCGCCGGGGAGGAGATAGGAGGCGCCCGTGGGGGCATCGCTGATCAGCGGGGAATGCCGGGAGGCGAAGGCGGCCGCCCAGTCGATGGCGGGTAGCTTGACATCCATGCCGCACCACAGAGGGGCTGCTACGGGGGGGCAGTCGCTGCAAGCCAGCACGCACACTTCATCATCCGCCGCTGAGTGGGGCGCAGGGAGGGGGGGGCAAGGGGAGGGGGGGCGCGAGGGGAGGGGGGCGCAGCCAGGCCCATGAGCACGCACGCACGCTCGGCAAGGCGCGCCTCGGCTGCGCGCCGTTTCTGGCTCTTGAGCCGCCGGACAGAGGGGTCACAAGATATCGCCTCATCATTGTAGCAGTGGATGCTCGCTTCGTCACAGCTAAGATCAGGAGTCGGAGCCCCTGCCGAGGTGGCGCAGGCGGGGCTGGGGCATCGCTCCACCGCCAGCCCCATCAGTGCTAGCTGGGCCTAATGAACCAGCAAGCGCCGTATGCACATTGTCTGGCATGCACAGTCAATGGTAGCGGCCACAGTGGCGCAGCCACCGTTACAAAGGCCCATTCCCGCGTCCAGCATGGCGGACGGCGCGGGAAAGGGTTATGCACGGAATCACGTAACTTTGGACCCCTCTGAGCACAAGGCGCACTCATCGACAGGTTTTGAATGGCCTACAAATGCCGACCCTGTTCTCATCCTCACAAGCATTGTGGATATTTTAGGAAGGGGCTGGGCTGCACGCGCGTCTGTTGATACATTTTGGACCGCACACGGTCGTCCTTGCAGGACTTTGCCAGAACACCCATCGACACCACCATTTGGAGTTGGGATCGTCACAGCAACAACGCTTACCCGTTTGAAAAAGTCTCAGCATCTTCCTATTTTGGAGTCGCTTGAGCTCGAGAGCAGTTTTTCTCCAAGCTCGTGTCGGGAGGTGTCGAAGATGTCGACCAAGCCGCTGTTGCCCGGCGTGGAGCGGGACGTACCCCTTACCACCCGCCTATCATACGCGCTTAAACACCAATGGGCGGTGTGGCTAGGCGTTCCGGTGGCCATGGGGCTCATTGTGGGACTGAGTCTTCCATCCAACCCGGAGCTGCCTGCACCACTGAACATCGTCAGCCCCATCATCGGCTGGACCTACTTTGCAGCTTGGAGCGTTTCGTTCTATCCACAAGGTACGTTGGAACTGGAGTACAGATCATGCGCCAGGAGGGAATTTGAGGGGCTGGCGCTGTGCCAGGCCGTGGTGGATATGTTGATCGTTGTGCCCTACTGGTTACTATGCCTCCCATGCTGCCACCCACCCATCACAGTCTGGCTCAACTACACTCGCAAGAGCGTGTCTGGCTTGTCACTGGACTTCCAGATCCTTAACCTCCTGGGCTTCATCTGCTATGCTGTGTACAACGTATCGCTGTATTGGAATGCTGCCATCCGTGAGGCATACCGCCTTGTACACGGGGGCAACTCGCCTGCCGTCCACGCCAACGACGTCTTCTTTGCACTGCATGCGGCGGTGCTGACAATGGTCACCCTGGCGCAGAGCCTGGCGTATCCGAGTAGCCGGACCCCACCCAGCCGGCTGTGTGTAGCCGCGGTGGTGGCTACCAGCGGGGCCGTCCTGGCTTATGCCGCCGCCCTGTACTGGGCCCCGGGCCTGCATCCATCCTGCCTCAACGGCTGCACTGAAGGCACCTGGTTCACCTGGCTGAATTTGCTGTACCTAGTCTCCCTCGTCAAGCTGGCGGTGTCCCTGGTGAAGTACATTCCTCAGGTAGGTGATGCAGAACCGGGTGCCCTTGGAGGTTCTGTGGTGTAGGAGCCTCTTGGAGTTATTCGACCTACTTGTGTTCTTCTGTTTGTGGGGCACAGACCTTGAAGAAGCCTTATAGAGCTTGGACTGGCTCTCAGAAGCGACTTTTGCATGGGATTATCTCCCCCCATCTCTCGCTCATTAGGATCCTATTTCCTCCAACGAGCAGGTGATCCTGAACCATCGCCTGCGCTCCACTCGTGGATGGAATGTGTGGAACGTGCTGCTCGATTTTGAGGGAGGCGCCCTCTCGCTTGCCCAGATGATCATTGACAACAGTGTTTGCGGGGTAAGCTCTTGGTCTAGGAAACGGTGGTGTTTTGCCCAAGGATGAATGTGTATTTGGGGAATTTACAGGGGGGATCTGCACGTGATGCTTGATCTCGTCCCTACCAACGGGCGGCCGCATCCCATCTGACGCCATGGTGAATCGCCATTCTGAGTACATCCCTGACAAGAAACATACAAGTTTTACAATCCTACCTCCTGTGCATGCAGGATTGGAGCGCCATTACTGGCAACCCTGTCAAGTTTGCCCTGGGATTCGTATCTATGTTTTTTGACGTCATATTCGTCGGCCAGCATGTGGCGTTCGGAAAGCGGCGCGGGGTCCAGGATGCAGAGGGCGAGGAGGGGAGTGGATTGCTTCCAGTGAGCGACGAGGCGCAGCCCGCAAACGTATGACATCAAGCCAAGCAATCGACCAAGTGCATACCTGGAATAACGGGGTTACTCTCCGCAACCTCGGGTGCTCTTTCATCAGGAGGGTTTAGTGTGTACTGGACCTGTCCACCCCGTCCGGTCATCGGATGTGTCATTTCTCAGCTCATGGATCCACTAGGTCGGCATGTTTCTTCCTGGTCATCCAGACTTCATGCTGGACCCGCCCACAATGAGTGACATTCCTGGCCCACCCGCTCCTTACCATTCTACCCTACATTCCTTCTTTCAAAAGTGTAACATCATTGCAATGCCTATGACTAAGATGCGGGCGCGTCGTCAGGCTTCACGCGGCAGGCCTCAAAGCCTTCCTTCAGGAGGGCGCCATCCAGGTCCTTGCCGATGAAGACCATCTTGCTGGTGCGCTTCTCGCCCTCCTTCCATGGACGATCTGGCATGCCCTCAAACAGCATGTGCACGCCCTGGGGGAGGAGCGGCAGTGGACATCCGAGTGAGATATGTTGAGCTGGGACGCCAAGGGCCTGGGCAGGCAGGCTGGAAGCCGCACGGCAGAGGCTCGTCTCGACCCTGGACAACCCAATAGTGTGAACGGGGGTGGCTGCATCAGGGGAAGACAGTGCTTCCCGCTCCACACCCCTCACCTGGCAAACAAATCGCCGATCAAAGCCCTGGATGGCCAAAACACCCTTCATTCGATACAGGTCCTCGCTCCGCATCTCCACCAGTGCCCCCAGCCAGAAGTTGATCTGAATATGGGGGGAAAGGGAGGAGGGAAAGGAAGGTGAGCGCAGCGATTAGATGTTGGGTGAATGGTTGCACGTGCTGGAGCAGTCGGTGTGTCCAGCGCTCCCCAATGCCATCACTGGCTCCAGTGCAAGGGGGCTCGGGGCGCAGTGACATGCTTCGTCCCTCTCCACGCAACAACCCGATACCTGTCGCTCTCTTGCCCCTTCTAAAACTTTGCCGCTCTCTCCCACTCCACACCCCACTTCAACACTCCTAGCCAAACACACCTTGTTGATGTCCATTTCCCCATCCAGAACCACGCTGACACTCGTCACAGAATCGTCATGGTGGTGGTCGTGGTGGTGGTGTTTGCGCTTGTGCCCGGCATGGCCATCCTCAGGACTGCCGTGGCCAGACTCGTCGCTGTGGGCATGGGCATGGCTTTGGTGGTGATCGTCGCCCTGGTCATGGTGGTGATCCTCATCATGGCTGTGATGGTGGTCATGCTCGTCGTGATTGTGATGATCATCGCCATGATGATGGTGGTCGTCCTCCTTCTCCACAAGGAGCTGGGATATTAAGGAAAGGGGGAAGGCACCACTTGAGCGACTACTGTCTGGATAACAGGTTGTGATGGAGTGGGAACGTGCAGCACTAGGCCCCTTGCTGGTTTCCTCCCCCATCAGACTGACACACACCATACCGCGGGCCCCTGCCTCACATCTGCGTCGATGCGCTCGAGGTCAAACCCGCCGACGCCCAGGACGTAGTCCGTCGGCACTTGGGCGCGGGTCGCCTTCAGGATAGTGGCCATGCCGTTGATGCCCTTCAGCCGCTCAGTCACACGCTCGATGTCCTCGGGCGACACCTGCAGATGGAGGGGTGCCCTCGCCTAACTCGCCTCTTCATGGTTCTTGAGCGCATCAGCATGCTAGCCCGCCGCACCGGAGAGGCTGGGGCCGCCCTCGCCCCTCGCAGCTCCTCCTCCCGACCCCTTGCCGCCCACATTTCCCCGCCTGCTCACCAGATCGGTCTTGTTGAGCACGATCCTGTCAGCGTACGCAACCTGCTCAAGGGCTTCATTCACAGCCCCACCCTGCTTCTTCTCATTAAGGTGCTGCTCGACGTGCTTGGCGTCGACCTGCCATAGCGTGGGGAAACAGGCTGTCAGGGCTCGCAACCCACAAGCCGGTGGGCCCACTCACAGCCAATCGCACAGGGCACCACGCACGAGGGTAACCAGGCCATCCAGCTTCATGTTGATAGCGACAGACTCCTCGATGAAAAATGTCTGGATGATGGGGGCGGGGTTGGCCAGCCCCGTGGTCTCGATGACGATGCGGTCAAACTGGTCCCGACGCTCGATCTGGCAAGTGTGTGCATGTGTTTGTATGGGACGGAGAGTGATACGGACTCTAGGGTCAGCGCTGGCCATGGGCTGACTGTCACGAGACAGGGCCACAGCCCCCCGCCGGCTTGGGTCCTGTCTGGCTGACATCCCCTGGGCATGCAGCAGGACCCAGTCCTGACCCCTGTACCGCCGACCCATGGTGCACCAGGCACACAGGCGTTCCCAAGCTCACCAGCCTGTTCAGCATGTCCACCAGGTCATCCCGCACGGTGCAGCACAGGCAGCCGTTGTTCAGCATCATGATCTGCTCCTGGCCCGGCTCCAGGTCTTCGCGGATGCTCACCAGCTCGCTGTCCACATCCACCTCACCGAACTGTGCACACGGGATTGAGCAAGGCGCCCTGAGGAGGTGTATTACAGCCGAGACTGCCCCAATGCTCAGCCCACAGCGAAGCATTCAGGCCCTGAGGTGCTAGCGGGGCCCCAAAACACAGCCCGTACCTCGTTCTCTATGACAGCAAGACGGTGGCCATGGTCGGCCTTCAGCAGGTGGTTCAGGAGGGTTGTCTTACCACTGCCAAGCCAGCCTGTGATGACCTGAAGATCAGGGATTGGGGACGGAGTGGTGGATGGCCTGCTGCCACCAGCCTGACCCCTCTCCCAGCACGCACCACGGGAATCGTCATGGCAAGCTCGAGGCCCCCTCACAGCACACCGTGACTGGGATGCGCATGTCTGGCTCCACTGCTGAGGCATCGGCTGAGGATGGGGTGTCTGCCATGGTCGTGGAGTGATCTGCGGCTCGTGTGCTGCTCGAGAATATTCTACTCCTATGGAACCAGGTAGTCCAGAGAAGTCTAGGGCTGGGGGTGGGCTGCCTGGCTCGCGGCTGAGCGGCCAACAGGTTTCTCCCTGCCGCGAGCTTGAACAACTGCGGAACGACGGCAGTAGAACGCGCAAACAGTCCAGTAATCAGCATGATTTTAGGATGTGGGGCTTGTTCGGTATGCTACGGCGCCAACGCCTTGACTCAGAAGGGCCAAGCTCCGGCCAACCCCTAGTCCCGATGGGATTCCTCCCAATCCCTGGAATGCGATCTCGACAACGGGAGTGAAGTCAAATTCCGGGAGTGTCTGACCGACTATATCACGACAATGACCACTCGAACCATCGTTTTGGATCTAGAATAGACGCCTGGGAGAGTGCCTGCAGCTTCGTGGCGAAGCGGGCGAGGGTGACAGGATGGCAACCACACCCTCGCGTGCCGAGGAGAAGGCCCGCAAGGTGCACTCCCTGCTGGCCAGCTATTACAATGTAGAGGATGGATCCGAAAATCCGTCCTCGACAAAGTCCAGGCGAGCCGATGTGGGCAGGAGGAGGGTGAAGAGCAGACTGCTGCTCTCACGACCACTAGGGCCTCAACCCCGCTACGCGCCCCTCCTCACAGGCTAGGGGAGTCCGGACAGACTTCTCCCCGGACCCCAGACCCCAAAGCCTCCCTACAGCGCCTGCTCCGGTCCGCAAGACTCACAGACTTGGTAGCCCAGAGCTCTGGTCTGGCAGCAGAGGTGGGGTCCCTGGACTCCGACATGCAGATGCTGGTGTACGAGAACTACAACAAGTTCATCATCGCCACTGACACCATGAGGGCCATGGCTGGCTCGCTGGATGGCATGGACACCAAGCTCACCGGCCTCCAGTCGCTGCTGGGTGGGTGTTTTGGGGGCTGGCGTGACAAACTGTGACAAGTCGGAGCTCATGTGCCCCCCTAACCCTGCGGCGGCATTCTAAAGAGGGAAAGCATGCTACAAACCGCCAGCCTGTGTGTCCACGGCTGCAAAATCACCAGTGCGCTCCAGCTTGGTCGCAATCTATGGTGCAGGACATGCTGTCGGTTCTTGGACGCGCCTCCTCCCCAGCCCCAGGCTATTCCTGTATAGATCTACCACGAAGCATGCACGACCACTTGCACAGGGGATGTGATGGAGCGCAGCGCGGACGTCAGTGGGCGGCTGGACAAGCGGCAGCAGCAGATCGAGGAGCTGAGCGACACTCGCCTGCTACTCCGCCGCCTGCAGGCCGTGTATGAGCTGCCCAAGAAGATCCGAGCCGCCCTCGACTCGGGCAAGCTGGAGGTGGCGGTGGATGCGCATGCCGACGTTCTCCCCCTGCTCCGCGCCCACGGCCACAAGGTCCTCCTTGGTGGGGGTGGGGGAAGTGCTGGGAGACGCAGCCTCGGTACCACTGCTGGGCGGGCATGGGATCTGGGAGGGCGCTGGTTAGCCTCCCAGCGCAGGCCCGTGCTGGCATGGTTGTGATTCCCCACTCCACGGCTGACCCTGGCATGTCTCGATGTCCCTGATTGCTACAAGCAGACCCTCCTTCCCTGCCTCCCCTGCCCACAGGGTGCCCTGCGCCGCGTAGCGGCCGAAATCGAGGGGCTGGCGCGTGAGACGCTGGCCCTGGTGAAGTCGCGTATGGCGGCCGACCCCGGCACCGCCTCTGACTGCATCCAGGCCATGGCGCGCATGGGCCAACCCCCCGAGGAGCTGGAGGCCGCATTCGTTGCCTGCAAGCGGGGGGTGCTGGAGCGCACGCTGGACATCGCTGCGGCCCTGCTTTCCTCCCAGGCCGCCGCGGCCGGGCTGCAGGGCCCGTCGCCGGGGACAGGGGAGGAAGGAGGGCCCGGGCCTGATCCACGCCGGGCCACGCAGGCCGCTGCTCCGGGCCTCGAGGCGGACCCGCCTACGTCTGGAGCGCGGTCACCTGCGGGGGAGGGCGGGGCGGCAGTAGAGGCGTGGGACCCGGCCGGCGGCGCCCCCTCCCTGCAGCAGTTCCTGGTGCAGCTGGACTCCCGCTTCCTCACCGAGCTGGCAGCGACCTGTGCTGAATTCGGGATTCTGTTCCGGGGCCGGGACACGGCGCCGCTGTTCAAGGTGAGCAGGCAGCGGCATGGCAACTGGAGGGATGGGGGTGGGGAGGGTGTGATGGGGTCTTGCCATGCCGTGCTGTTCCAGTGCCATGGCCGTCCACCTGCACTCTACCTTGGTGCCTGACCGTGCTGGCACACATCTTACCACCACCACCCCGCCAAAGGTGCTGCGGGCGACGTTCTCGCGGTACCTGGCGCTGACGCGGCGGGCGCTGAGCGACGCCACGGCCCTCGTCGCGGCGCGCGGCGCGGGGATCAGCGTGGCGGGCCGCCCCCTGGTGCCCACGGCAGAGCTGCTCGCCGCCCGGCCCGGCCCCGCCCAGGCCGCTGCGGCCGCCGTTGCAGGGGCCCAGTGGAGTGTGATGGAGATGGTTGGGGGCCTGTATGTGGTGAAGAACGACATCGCCCGGCTGGAAAGCGTGGCCCGGGAGCTGGGGCCCAAGGACAGGTGGGCCGGGGCGTTCGCTGCGGGGGGTAAGGATGGGGAGCGAGGGGGCGAGGGATTGGTGGGTGAGAAGAAGAGGACCGGGGCAGCGCCCCGTGTGGGTGGGGTGCGGCGGCGCACCATCCTCTGTGCGGACCTGCAGACCTGCGCAGCGCACGTTGCACCCTGAAGAACCATCCCCCCTGCGCGTCACCCGCCCCCCACCCTCCCACCCTCATTGCCCCCTTCGCACAGAGCGTCCGAGCTGATCGAGCATGCCGTGCGGCAGCACCTGGGCCTGTGCTTCGCGGCCCTGGAGCGCAGGGCGCAGGCCGTGCTGGGGGATGTGGGCGCCGCGCTGGCCGACGCAGGGGGCCATGCAGAGCGCTGCGCGATCTTAGGCCCGGCCAGCGAGCTCCTGCGCTTCCTCATCCCCTCTGACCTCGCGCGCCTGCTCACCTGGTAGCCAGCGCATGGATTGGGGGGGGTAAGGGGAATCTGAGGGGCATTCAATGGCTTTGACCCTGGTACCAAGAAGCAAGCACATGGAGGTGGGGTGGGTGGGGGCGCGTGTGCGCTCCTCACAGCGAGGCAGGAGCCATCTGCAGGCAGCCACGGGTTTCAGGTGTCAAGGCCAAGTGAATCCACGAGTCACACGCCCTACTCACTCTCAAGCTGAATGCTCATGCCTTTTCACCTCCCCTCCACCCCTCCCTTCCCCCGACAGCGTGCAAGCCTACAAGGCGCATGCATGGGTGCTGGCTGGCTGGCGTGAGGTGTTCCTCGACATGCTGGCGGGCCGGCTGCGCCACTGCCTGGCGTCCCTGGGCCGGGAGATGGCGGCCATGTGCCACCTGCCCACCGCAGACGCCAGCGGCGGGGAGAGCAGCCGCAGCCGCAGCCCCTCCCCGACCCGCGCGCTGCGTCTCGTCAGCACCGTGGACGGCGGTGGGGTGCCCTTTGCCGTGCCGAGGGCGGGCGCCAGCCTGGCAGGGGCGCTGTCCCCGCCGCCAGACAGCCTGCTCCTATTGCTGGCCGGTGTGTGCGCGGCGCTGGCCGAGGGGGGGTTGGCCGGAGTGGCCAAGCAACTCAGGGCCCTGGCGACGACCGAGGGCGGCGGGGCGCAGGTGGTGTCTCCGCGCCTGACCCGGGATCTGGCCAGGCGAGCACGGGCATGTGGTTTTGGGAGGGGGACGGCGATGGGAGGGCTCGTGGGAGCCCGTGCGCATCTGTCTGTCTGTACTCCTCGCACCCCTGCCTCAGCCTGCCCCCCCCGACCACCACGCAGGGATGTGGTTGGCGTGCGGGCGCGGCTCATGGAGGGATACGTCCAGGCGCACGGCGCGCGGCTGGAGCTTGCGGCGCACAGCATGACGGAGGCCGGCGGCTGGAGGACGGGGAAGGAGCCTCGCGGGCCGCGTGAGCTCTGCGTCCTGCTGCTCGATACACTGGCCGGTGCGTGCTTTCTTCCTCTTGTGACAGGGGTGCATGTGCAGCCCTGCGCCAGCGATCCACTGCCAGCACGCCCCGTCCGATCTGCGATTGTGGTCGTCCAGGGCACCCCGCTCCTGGCCTAGATGCGTGCATCGGTTCTCCCTGCGCCCTTACATGCCCAACAACCCCACCTTTTCTTCCCGCCCTCGCCGCAGAGGTGAGCGAGGAGGTGGCGGTGGTGACGGCCACCCAGCCGCTCCCCGCGAGCACGCCCTCCCACCGCGCCTCCCCCAGCGGGTCCAGCGCCTCTGGCGCGATGGACACGGAATCGATGGGGGCGGCTGTGTCCCGCATGTTTGCCTCTTCGCTGGAGCGTGGGCCGGGGGCCCCCGCTGGGATCACGCCGCCCGCTGTCTGCGCGGCAGTCGCGGCGCGAGGCCTGGCGGCGATGGCGGAGGCGCTGCATGCGCACACGCTCGTGCGCCCCGCTTTCCAGCAGATCCAGCTCGACGTGCACTTCCTGCGCGCACCCCTGCAAGGCTTTGTGGCGGGAAGCTATGAGGAACCCGCCGTGCTGCAGGTGGGTGGGCGCCAGTCCTTCGTGTGCCCTCAAATGCGCCACGGGAGTGCAAAGTGCCGTTGAAGAGCCAGGTGCACAGATGCTTCCATGCTGTTTCGAGTCTGGGCTGCTCCTCACCCTCCCTTTGCACCCCACCAGGCATTGGATGAGGTCCTGGCTGCAGCGATGGAGAGGTGTCCGGAACCCATCCTCCTAGAGACTGCCGTTCTGGATCGCGTGCTGGCATCGGGTGTTGCTGGGGCAAGGCCGTCCAGGTAGTCTTCTCTCCACTCGGAATTACTTGACACCATTGATACCTGGTCATTGCGTCTCGCAGAAGCATGCGTTGTTACACCATCTATATGGGCTCTTAGGGACATTTCGAAATAGGACGAGCAGAGTGCAAGGGAGATTGGGGCTGACGTGTGCAGGCGTCGTGCAGGAAAGGGGTGAAGGGAAGGGAATGGGCTGATGGGCAAGGCTCTTCCTAAGACCACCTGTTGCGAGGGAGCAACAGGCATGCACCTCGCTTTGCAGGAGGGGTGGCAAGGTCAGGACAAGCGCTGACAAGGGGGTTCAAAGGCCTCCCGTTAGCATAAGCATCGGGGCCTCCGCGTCTGGGGTGGCAACTAAATGCGTATGGGATGTCCAGCAGCTAATGGGTGAAGGATGCTTAGCCTGCAGGTGAAGAGGGCAGAGGTGGTTTGAAGGGCGGCTTTTTGGATTCTTTGGAGCCTTCTGTGGTCCACATGATGGGCACCAACGCAAGACGATGCAGACCAGCAGTGCATGAGCCATAAGGCAAAGTTCTCCATCCCTCGTCACTCACCCAGAGCGTTGCGGAACTTCTCAAGGGTCTCCTCAGCATTCTCCCTGGCGTCCTCAATTGCGGGGGCAATGGAGTCCTGCCACTTCTTCAGGGAGAACTTGTCCTTCTTGTCCTCAGACAGCCTGCGGCCGGTGATGGCCTCCTTGAACCGGTCGCCAACCTCCTCAGTGGCGTCCTGGAACTTCTCAAGAGCCTCCTCCGCCTTCTCCCTAGCATCCTCAACAGCGGGCCCGACGGAGTCTTGCCACTTCTTCAGGGAGAACTTGTCCTTCTTGTCCTCAGACAGCCTGCGCCCGGAAAAGGCCTCCTTCACGGTGTCCTGGACGTGCTCGGCAGCATCCTTGATGGAGTCGCCAAACTTGTCGGCCTTCTCCCTGGCGTCCTCGACGGCCGGGGCGATGGAGTCCTGCCAGTTCTTGAGAGAGAACTTATCCTTCTTGTCCTCGGAAAGCTTGCGTCCTGCGCAATGGATGCAGACACCGGTTGTTATGGATGGGCTGGACAACAATCCCATCAATGGATTTTAGGATCTTAGTGAGGAGGTTTGAATCCGACTCTCCACGTGCCCCGACTTACCGAAAGTCTCCTGAAGGGTTTCGCCGGCCTCGTCGGCCCACTCCTTGGCGTCCTCAAGAGCGGGTGCCACGGCGGACTCCCACTTGTTGTCGGACAGCAACTTGCGACCTGCGTGGAGGCGGAAGGATGGCGTTGAGCTAGGGAGCCAACCACGAGGCACGGCTCGATCTGGCAGTTGTTCTCGCAAATGCTCCGTTCACTCACCGAAGACACTCGATAGACGGTCTCCAACAGTCTCAAAAGCAGAGCTGGCCTCCTCGGCGATAGGCTCGAAGCCCGCGAGGATACCCTCACCTGCATGGCGGCGAGTGGAATAGGTTGAGACAGCGGCGACCTTCAAGCTGCACAACGGACAATCTTGGAATCTCGCACATGCACTGCTAAGATCGGGACGCAGCAGGGGTTGGGTATAATATCGACTAGTGTATAGTTGGCCACGAGAATGATCCCAACAGACCGATCCCGAACTCACCCGCTGGGGCGCAGTTACCGCCGACAACCGCCAGGGCAATGACGAGCAACGCAACCCGTTGCATCTTCATCATAAGGTGGGTGGATGGACCGACGAAAGTAATTATAATGTGGTAATGTAAGTCTCAAAGTACGAGCAGTGGTGTTTGGGAAGGAATACAATATGCAACCGAGTCGTGTCTCGAGATGATTTTAAAGCCGTTGGCATGCCAGTTTCCACCTGGTTCGCCAACAGATCCCGAGCACCCCGAGGCAATCGGTCATCTCCATGTGACTATGAGTATCGCCACCCTCCCGTCGATTTTGGAGCATGCTGCGACATGGAGATGCTCTGCTCCGCATGCAGCAATGCTTAAGCCAGACATTTGCATGTCAGTAGCGCCCGGGGCGCCGCTTGAGGGACTGATGCAGGCTCGAGCAATTGCGGCGGTAGGTGAGTGGGTTCGCCAGAAGGTGCAGAAGGCCCGCGGTCCAGAAGCTTCCCGCCCGATGCCTGTGAGGGTTCGGAGGATGTGCAGGTTCCGATGCGTCCTCCATGTGGGAAGTGCATGGTGCCCTTTGGGATGGGTGAGCATGAGCGCCCTCTCATGCATGTGCGTGGGGCTGCCGTACTTCCTGATGGAGGATTCGCGGCAAGCCACCAATACACCCAATAGGCCTCAGTGGGCCTTTCCACCGACGAGTGCTGGGTTCAAAATTCCCTCGTACAGAGGCACGGAGGCCCATTCAGTGGTGTGCAGCTTTATACATACTTTTCAACATAGATGGGATAGGGACGTGACCACCACCCCCCAGCCTACTCCTTCCAGATACAAACCCCTAGTCCTCGGTGGAGCAGGCCTGGCCTGATGAATTGCTCCTGTTTGGATCTCTCAAGATCTCTCCTGACCTGCCATTGGATTCTTTTACTTGTATCATCCTTGTACCCATGTGCATGCATTCATGCACACGCAGGGGTATGCCGTGCCATGTGGGTGCCGGCGATGACCCCCGGCCACACTCCACTTGAGTGAGGGAGAGAAGTGCAATTCGGAGGAAGATAAGGGATGTGGAGTTCTTGAAAAGTGCTGAGTAGTTGAATATTAGATGCCATGGAGAAAGAGCTTGGTGCGACAGGTTGTCAGTTCATGCGAGCCAAGGATCAGGGGGTGGGTGGGCAAATTCAGTATCAGCCGGTGGCAGACCTCAATACCCAGAGGCACCGCCGCCCCTGGAGAGAATGACCATGGAGTTCTTGACCAAGACAATAATGAAGAGGACGGAGGGGAGTTGGGGGGTGGGGGATGGGAAAGTAGAAAATGGGGCGGCTGTATGTTGCCGCCCAGGAGCGCTGCAGGCCAGATCCGGGGAGCGGGAGTGGGGTCAGAGTCCCACACCGCAGCCCCCGTGCCTCCCACCTATGCTAGGCCCCAGGGGTCTCCACTCCGCAGAGAGAGGGCGCGCCCCCCCCCCCGCCCTGGCGTCCGCCCTGGCCTCCGCCCGCCTACCACTCTGGCCCCACCCAGTTGCCGCCCAGGGCAGCCGCCAGGCCGGGGTGCAGAGACCCCCCCGGGGCCTGGGTGCCGCTGGCGGGCTGCAGGGTCACCGAGAGCACGTGGTCTCCGACGTGAGCGCCGTGCATGCTCACCGCCGCACGCTCCGCCGACCCCGCATTGCCAAAGGTGATCAGGCTGCAGAGGGGTGGGGGTCGTGTGGAAGCAGGGTCGAGGCTTCCGTGCACATTCGTGGCGTCGAGCGGGCTCGGCGCGGCTGCCCCGTCCTGCGTGGGCACTGCCTCGCCTCTCTGGGGACCCCAGGATGCCCTGCACGGCGGACACACCGGCGCACAGACGCAGCACATTCGTCCCTGCCCTGTCCCAGGCTCGCCGCGCCGCGACACCCATCACC